ATATATATAAAATATCTAGATGTCGTCTAAATTTCTTTCGCACAATTACTCAATTGTCTCTCATGACAGCTTACAATGTTTCAGATCAGTTCGTATTATCTAAAACATCACGAAACCTCTCAGACATTTGTAAATTGTAAAACAGACATGATGAAGCAGGAACGTGGTGAATCTTTGATCGCAATTTACATAAGATCAGTGCCACTGGTCCACAATGCCAATATAAGGTTGTCTCTTTTTTTCGCAAGGAAGCTCCCTATCCTCGTTGCCGATCTTCGTTCCACGAGTCTCAGATTTGCATACTTCGGGCCAGTTTCCCACATGTCTCAATAGTTTCCGCTTCTCAGTCTCTCCTTTCTCGCTTCGCATCTTTCGCTCTCTCTCGCCCTTTCTTCTTCCCTTCCTTCCTTCTTTTCTTCAACATTCCGCGCAACCCTTTCAGCTGCCGATGAAGACAAAAACGCGGGAGTACCTAAAAAAAAAAAAAAAAAAAAAAGAACGTCTTCGTTCTCCCACGATCACGACGTTTCCTGGCGAGGCTGCTCTCATGACATGTCTATTGTGAACATACGAGCTTCGGAGTAGTCGCGGATATATTCTTTTTTACATATGCATGTTGAAGCGATTGGCGGAAGCGGAAGACATGAGCACCTATATATAGCCTTGATCTAAATCTTTATTAAATACACGGTTTTAATATTGTTGATGCTATTATTATATGATCATTATTAGAAATATCTTTTTTATATCTTTATGTATCATTTTATGTATATATAATTTATTGATTTAAACTTTATTATTTTTCAATAAAAAGATGCATTCTAAGCTATCTAAAAATTGAATAAAACTGTATTTTATTATAAAAATACTATTTTTAAAATTAGAAACAAAGAAAATAATTTTGACATTTCTAAAAATTTGGTTAGATAAAAATCTGAAAATAATTCTATCGAGTCATCAAAATAACTATGTAAGACGCTCAAGTTGCTACTTTATCAAAACTTTTTACAGAATTATTATTATGCTAAAGCACTAAATTTTGGAGTAATAAAATTATTCTTTCAGTGAAAATAAAAGTTTTTTAAGTCTATTTCTTACACAAACTTCATTTTTTTCTTATGAATCTTTTTTATTTAGTATATCAAAATTTTGTGGCGCACCGAATACTTTGTATCTAGATAGTTGTCGGTTTTATTCGATGACAAACGGTAACGCCGGAATAAACATGAAACGGGTAAAGTAAATGCGGAAGTGCGGTCGCGCGACTAAGGGGCGAACGTTAAGGAACAACCACAGGGAAAGAGGAGAGTTTACGAGTCGCCAACCTCCCAAGTAATGATTGTCGTTAACCATCGCGCCGCTCGGCCCGCAGCCGAGACTTTTGTATGCTAATGACAGGGTGGTCCGATTTCATCCTACGGCCGAGTAAAAAATCTTGAGGGTCAACAGACCCATCGTTAGCCCGAGCTTTAAGTCTCCCTCGAGCGTCATTGACCTCGAATTAAAAAACGGGTGCAACCTTCCGCGCGTCCCGCCGACTCCGCTCCGCCCGGAAATTTTACACTTACACTCTCGCCTCGTAATGTAACACCTCCACTTATTTACTTTTGCCTATTGCACTTTATCTCATGGATACGTGATCGTCTCAGATGGTGGATTTTTACAACTTGAGAAAACAAGACGCGAAATATAAACACCAATTATGAATTCCCTAATTCTTTTCTTTCAAAAAGCCATTTCTTTTCTTTCTCTCTCTTCTTTTCAAAAAAATGTGAATTATGTTCAACATATTTGATTATTTTCTTCTTTGATTATTTTCTAATTAAAAAACACATCTTTTATAGATGTAGATAAATGTATAATGAAATCTAAATAGAGAATTGTATACATCATATTTAGTTGATTGAAGAAATCTGTTAACAAAGTTGTTAAGATTTTTAAGACACTGATATGATGCGACAAAATAATAGAATAAATTAATTAAAAATTCTTATTAATACTTTTGTCATTCGGACTACAGCGAATGTAAATATTGTTCTAGCGCGCAGGCTCTTTATAATTCACAATTTTCTCTTCTCTCTCACGGTCGTTCGCATTTCATTCATCCAGGTGACACCGTGTCAGTGGGTTCTAAGGGAATTATTCAAAACCAACCCTGACTGGCAAAAGTGCAGCCGCCCTGGAACTGTAATCCCATACCCGTATCTAATCTGCATAAAAGAGAAGAAAAAAACATCGCACGGGGAAAAACAAAAGCGCGGAAGAATTTGCTGGATAGGCTTCGCAAAACTGCTGTACTGGCATTATTATCTAAAAATTCCGTCTAAGATGACGAATGAATAAACTTAAGTAAAAAATGTTTTGAATTAATCAAAAATTCTAAAGTAAATCAAAACATTAGTAGTTTCTTATGGTATCTTATACCATATACAAAAATAATAATTTTCCTAAAAAATTTGATCTAATACAGATCTAAAAATAATTTTGATAGACCATTGAAATAATTATATAAAATATTTAAATATGAAGATAATATTGTAAAAGCTTTTAATATTTTAGTAACATCTTTAATAAATTGAAAAAAATTATTTTCAGATTTACTTTATTTTCTGATCTAAATTTTTATATAGCTATTTAACATAGCTGTTTTTT